GTCTATCTTTTTTTTACCTTTCTTAACGTAATTTTAAAAAAAAAAAATGACTTTACCCTTTTTCGGGTATTCAACATCCGAATTGAAGGGAAAATAATCGAAAGTTTAACGTTCGCAGTCATAAATGTGATATTTCTGGATGTTGGACATCCAAAAATAGCACATTTCTGATGTTCCGAAAATGTGCCTGCGAAAGAAACCTTCTGGAATTTCGCAGGCATATTTTTGGATGTTGAATATTTGACAATAGCACATTTTCACATGTTTAACATCTGAAAATAATTTCGGATGTTGGACATCAAAAAATAGCACATTTTCGGATTTTTAACATCCGAAAATGTGCCTGCGGAATGTGAAAATTAAACTTTCAGGCTATTTTCGGATGTTGAACATGTAAAAAACCCTTCAATTCTGATGTTGAACACCCAAAAAAGGATAAAGTCATCTTTTTTAAAAAATTGCATTATGAAACGTAAAAAACAGACAGACACATAATAACGTAAACTTTTTGGTGCATCTGTAATAACACAAATATAATATATATGTATGTAATTTTCTCTTTTATTTTTGGATAATTAAACAACACTTTTTTTAACACTTAAATCTCATCATCTAAAAATTGCACGATCTCTGTTCAATTTAGTGCCATTATTGTTTTTGTGAAGAGGGTACAATTTGGAAAAAAATTTATTGAAGTCATGGGTTGAAGAGAATACATTCTCAAATTTTGGAGTCCAAAAATTAATACTAGGGGGGGTTTTGCCCAATGGTGAAAATGGACATTCTACTCCCATGGGAGTAGAATATCTTTAGGCTAAATTTTATTGTTCAAGTAAGATATTAGGGTTTAACAAAGTGATTTGTATAAATCATTTTAGCTACAATAAGGGTCACAATTATTCTTAGTCATTGGATGCGACAACTAACTGACTAAAGTGTCACAACATTTAAAAAATTGTATTTTGAACTTTATGCCCAATCTATGACATAGCCTCAATAATCCAGTTTCACATCTAATGGTAAATAATGATTGTGACCTGTTTATATCAAAGAAAAAGTTTATATAAAGTTGCAACCAGTATATTTTCAATGCACTTTGTTAGTGTGTATGTGACTTTTGAATCATCAATCTTAAATTTTAACCCATCCGATAAATTTTCAAATAGGGATTGTATATGACAAGACCAATTAGGTAGTCACAATTCCTTACAAGCATTTGATGTGAAATTTGATATCTTGGATGTGTCACAAAGTTCGAATAAATTTATTTTGAAGTTTAAGCTTGGTCAATGGAATAATTGTAGCTACTCAATTTCACATCTGATGGTAAATGGTCTTATTCTATACTTTCCTTTAACTTTAATACCTTTTGATTCAATAATTTCCCTTAACTTTAATACGTTTTGATTATTATTCTTTTACTTTCTTGCGCCTTCTCCCTCCCCACGAAAACTCTCCCGTGATTCTCTCCCACTTCCTCTTCCTAATTTGGTTGCCATGACCGAAGACTCAATTGTGAATTGCTGTCCATCTCTCCAACCCTCTCTCATCCTTTGGGTGCTAAAAAACCATTGCAGAGGGCTTCTTTTCCTCCTTCAAGTGCATGGCAAAGGCCCAATAGTAGGCCTTTGGCTGCCTTGGCAGAGACTGCATGGTTAGAAGCCAGGGAAATTCTTAAAGCTAAAAAGTAAAAGAACAAACAATCAAGGGTAGTACATATAACTGTGTGTGGGCTCTAATACACTGTATATGTGCAGTTTGCGTACGGATGCATCCGTAGGTGTAGAGGTAACGGTGCACCTTCAAATTTTATTATGGTATGTAATTTTGATGTAAAATGTTCTTAAGATTATCTCAAAATCTATTTTTATATCTACTTATAAAATTTTAAATTTAAAAAATAGTGAAAATCAAGTAGATCTATAAACATATGAAAATCTTGAAAATTGATCGTGTAGATAATATGTTATAAAATGTACTATTTCTGAGACAAAATCTTTTGATTTCTCATAGTCATACATCTCGATGTCGAGATGATCAATCAAAACGTTTTTCAACACTAAAACTACCTTTCCTGATGATCTTTGAGCATCCGTAGCTCTACATTATAAGGTTGCATCCTTATATAAACTTTTTCCATTTAAAATACACAAGATCATTCCCCACCTGTGACATGTACCTCAGGCGATTGAATAACATTTGATATGCAGGTTTAATTGTGACCTCCGTTTATTATAAATAAATAATTTCATAATATACAATCCCCATTAAAAAAATTCAAGACATTTATATCAACTAAAATTAGGTTAAATGCCTAAATTAACAACCAGAATTGCTAAAACTTTTCATCTTTTCTTGGGATAGCTACAAATGCGACAGAGAATTTGTAGAGAAAATAAATCTAAATCGTATAACTCAAAACACATACAGAGCAGCTGTCCCTCGCTAGTGTGTGTATAAAAGAGGGTTATATCGTGATATTATATTTCGTATGAGGTGTTCTTACCCAACATTCACCACCGATGCTTTGAGTGGAGTAAAGAATTGGGTGATAGTGCGTGCATCATTCACCGTTTGTGATAAATACGAATAGTGAATGTTGGGTAACAGTGCCCGTTCACTACAATAAAGGGTATACTACATTTTCCCATGTTATTAATTGTTTTACATAAGTTAACATGGTCCTATGCCAATAAGTGGAACTTTTTTTTTTGAAATGGCAACACATTTTCTATTTAATACAAAAGTTTTCTACTGGAACCACTTAGTAGCATGAAATGAACCGGGGTCCTCACATTTCTTTCGACTCCCCTCTAGTAAGTTTAGCAAATATATTGCAAAACTCACCCCTAAAACTAACAAAAAAAGTATCAATATAAAACCCAAAGTTTAAACAAAAGGATACGGTTTCTATGAGTCCTTGTGGAAATGGGTCACCTCTTAAAAATCTATTTTTGGGATGGATTTTTGGACTTAGTTTTAAATACATGTAATCTCTAACATGGATATCATGGATATGAATAAATAAATAAATTTTAAAAATTAGAAAAATAATTTTATTAAGAAAACATTTGGACCGTTAGTTTCAATTGTTTTTAGATGCCTATTTGCATTCATCTTTAATATTGGTGCTTTATACTTTGGGACCCCATATTGCAGAAATGCAGTCTAGCCCGGATGAAATAATTTTCCAAACAAAAAGCGAGGAGACGTTCCAATATACGGTTGACAAGTTAATGGAGCATTTAGCGACCATGGATATCAGTTATTGAGGCCTCATTTACAGAGCTTGTAATGGTTCTATCCGCATAAACCATATATGGGGGCTTGGGCAAGCTGAGACTAGAAGAATCCCTTCCCAACATGACAACCACTGAAGAAAGAGGAGGCCTATCTGTTGCATCTGCTTGAACACAAAGAAGCCCAATGTGAATGCATCTCAAAACTTGGTTTGTTGGGCATGTCTCACCAAGAGATGGATCCATCAACTCTACGGGTCAAAGCAATAAAGAGCTAAAATAAGATAAGGACAATATTATTTAAGGGGTCAAAGCACCTTACAAAATCATAAAAGGTCAAAACATGTTGATTAACATTATAGGTTTTACTTTTAAATTTATACTTCACTCAAATACCTCCTCAAAGAATATCTTTCAAAATACCTAAATTGACTATATTCAAGGTTATGAACATCAAACAAGCAAGGACACTTCAGTAAATTGATCGACTTAAGAGGCTCCAACAAAATAGAGGGAATGTCCTACTTGTTCAAGGTGGATCAAGTTATTGAAATGCCCTTGTTTGTTTGGGGTTGGGAAACCTGAATAGGAACAATTTGGGCACTTATGAAGATATTTCTTATGAAGGTATTGGAGTGAAATGAGAAGTAGGAAAAAAAAAACTTTAATGTTAATTGAGAATGATATTTTCCATGAAAATTAAGAAATTGTGGTTCCTTTGGAGTAGATGTTGTATTTACGTATTCTACTAGTCCATCACTCTCTTCTGATGGTTGTGGCTCATTGCATTTTCTCCCGCTAATAATTTCCAGACTCCAAAACTATAGATGTCTGTCTTCACTGAGATATGCCCGTGCAAAATGTACTCGAGAGGCATGTAACCACTGCAGATAGATACAAGTAAAACACATTAGGGAAATTATGTGTTCATGTAGGAACGAGCTCAAGGCTCGGGGGTCAGGGCACCCAACATGATTTCTTGAGTTCTATTCTTATTATGGATGTGCCCCAAGCCCCACTGATCTGTTAGAAAATAATAATAAAATATATATATATATATATATAAGAAGAAAAGCAATCTAAAATGTTGAACTAGTACTAAATAATCAAAAAAAGAAATGAATAAAATGCTTAATCAAGGGTATGCAATGCAGTGATGAAATTCTACTGCATCCTAAACTACTAGGAACTCTTAATAGTTCAATAAGATACTGCACTATAAGAATATGAATTGCTGAAGAAAACAATATCTTGACTTGACACTGCGTCCCAAAGACCCAAACCACTCCACCCCCCTTGGGGCCTCATTTTCACGTCTCCCTCTCTCACTCGAGATCAATTGTGCCTTTGCTTACAACTAATCATGATGCAAGTAAATATAAGAGAGAGAAAGAGAGAGAGAATGAAATGAAGTTGTGTTTCACCTATTTGTAAGATTAAGATAATGGAGAACCATTTGCCTTAAAATTAAGATAACTAAGGAATGAATTACTTACTATGTTCCAACAATAATACAGGTATTGGCTCGAGTTTCATCCTCTCCAAAACGTCTTGCTGTTCCAAAGTCTGAAATTTTAGGATTTAAATCATTATCCAGCAAAATATTGCCAGCTTTGAGATCGGGACGAATAATTCTTAGTCGAGAGTCTTCATGGAGATAAAGAAGCCCCCTAGCGATTCCCACAATGATCTTGAAGCGCTTCATCCAATCTAGTTGTAGGCGCTTTTCCGGATCTGCTCAATATTTTCATGTGAATAACATACACTCTCTCTCTCTCGTAAGAATATGTATGCTTATTTGAACACTTTATATAGGATGAAGTTAGCATAAGGCCCGGGTCTTATGATGAAAAAGGAAAGCAATACTTCAAAACCCCATTATAGAATGTAGGTCTGGTTAATCGCGAAATTTGAAGCTCAAAAAACTAGGTCAAATCTAGCAGAGATGTGAACAATTGAAAATGGATGGTGCAAATAATTCGCAACAAAAACACACTATTTTTAGGGCCTCAAATTCATTATTTGTTTTCCTTTCATCTCTATGATTATCAAGGTGCAGATGATCACTTTTGGTTTTCTAGCGCTAAAATTGCAATCCTGATGAAATTTGAGGAATGACTTTACTTTTATTATAAAGCCAAGGCCTTACAATAAGTTTTTCCTTTTATATGCAAATATGTGCATGTGAATTGCAGAGAAAGATGGATGCCACAAGACGGGAACAATCCGTTTCTCAATTAGTGTAACTTTGACATTAAATAAATGTAGAGTAAGGATTCAAACCAAATAGGATGGTGTTAAGGCTCTTGTTGGGCATGTATTCATAGACAAGAAGTTTTTCATGTCTTTGTAAACAACATCCAATGAGCCTTACAAGATTCCTGTGCTGGAGTTTGTCAATCAATATGATTTCATTCTTGAACTCCTCTACTCCCTGTCTTGAACTCCTTAAAAGTCGTTTTACTGCGACCATTTGCCCATCTTGCAACTTCCCCTGTGAAGAATCTTTTTATCTTTATTGATAAAACATCAAATAACTAGATTATACACAAAGGACTTCCTCTAAGGAGCAACATTACCTTGTATACAGGACCATATCCCCCTTCTCCCAACTTATTTTCTTCTGAAAAATTGTTAGTGTATGCTACAATGGTATCTAATTGAAAGAGCAATGACGTATTTTAATTTCCTCCCACACTACCATGTCTGATTTGTTGGCTTCTGTCCCCATTATTCGATCTCTCTTTCCGATTATGTAACAGTGATATAGGGCTTCGTTCATTATTTCCTATCAAAATCAAACAGCAATAAAGAAATAATGAATAGAACTATGGTATTTATCATGAGTTACTCCTCTCTTGAGATCAATTAAAGAGTCAAGGATTTCGAATCGCTTCGCATGAACTAATCCAATGTAACTGCCTACCTTTTGTCTAGTCTTTCTTCGAGACATACAAAACAGGCATATGGCCAGTGAAAGAACTGCATATGAAATAATTGTCGCCATAACGATAATCGTTAATGTTGATGAGTCTTTCTTGCCACCTGCATCAACAATGAAACCATTTCACACATCAACTATTCTCTGTGTTTCGAATTAGACACGTATTCACAGCTCAGTCGATTAGTCATGCATTCCATTGCTTAGGAAAACAAAAGGAGATCACTCTATTGCATATCCTTCCACCCATCTTTCTCAATTGTTCATACCTTTCTCTTTATGCCATTTTTATTTTGTTTAGTTTCATTTAGTTGGAAGTTCAAGAGATTTTTCTAAATTTTCATTTGAATACGAGCCATTTCTCTTGTTTCTTATTTTTCTCTTCAAATTTTCCTTCTCGTTGCTTTCTTCAAAACTACATTCTCAACTGTGTCTCTATCTTGTCATTTCCAGCTAATTATTCTAGAATCATATGGTAACGCCTCGAAATATAAAAATTGATTTATTCAAATTAGGTCTCCTTCAAAGATTCATCTTAGAAATTGATTTAGAGCAAAACTTTCACGGATTTATAATCTTGACTGCCACCATAATGAATTTTTAAGGAAATTGGCAGTTAGACTATAAAATTTGATGCTTTCAAAAGAATTAAAATGAATTATCCAAAAAATAATAAAAATAAAGAAGATAAAGTTTAAAATCATTATCTTTTAAAATCCAAAAAAATTCTTTTCAATTGATGATCATTTTTCCAACTATTTGGGGTCAGCTGCGCGGATCTCGATCTATCATTCTAGTTCTATCGAGAGCCATACTTTTTTTTATTTTATATATATAGAAATAATTTTGTTAAACATAAGAGCATATATACAATGTTCCCTCGGGAGCATAGTTTAGTTCTACTCCCTATGTCAAATGACCTACTTGAGAGGATTTTTTCAATCTAAAATTTTGAGAACTACTTGAAAATTAATAGATGATTATTCTCAAAAAATAAAATAAAAATTGAGTTTTTTAACGCTTACATCTCATCATTTAAAAATTCAATGATTTCTGTTCAATTCAGAGCTATTATTTTTTTCAAGCGCATAGAGGGTACAATTAAGAAATCTTTTTATTGAAGTTAATCCATGAGTTGAAGAGATTCCATCCTCAAATTTTGGAGTCCTAAAGTTAATACTAAGCGGGGTTTTGCGGAAGGAAATAAATGGACATTCTACTCCCACGGGAGTAGAATATCTTTTGGCAAAATATGATTGTTTAGAAGAGATATTAGGGTTTGACAAAGTGATTTGTATGCAATAAGACTATTCATTTTTACTACCATCTGGATGACAATTACTCTTAGTTGCTGGATTCAAAATCTGACCGATGAAGTGTGTTATAACATACAAAATTTTTTATTATGGACTTTCTCCCCGATCTATGACACAACCTCAATAATTCAATTTCATATCTAACGGTCAATAATGATTATGATCATAAAGTTTTATCATATATATTTCCTACACAAATGCTCTTTAAGAGTACTAGCAACTTGCCTGTGCTCCACACATGATTTGAATCATTTTTTTTTAAAAAAATAAAATGTTTTCAATAAACATATTAAATTATGAGTAAAATATTGCTTAGAGTAAATTATATTTACTACATATTAAAATAATTTGAATATTGAGAAGTTCGAAGTTATCAATATATATTTATAAAGGGAAAAGTTTATATAGAGCCGAGGCTCTAAACAATCAAATTTTAAACTACCTCAAAAATTTCATTAGAAGAGACTGAATATCTTCAAATTGATCATCTCAACATCAAGATGCATGGACATAAGAAAAAAATGGATTGCAAGTTTTGAAAATAGTGTGTTTTGTAACGCATTTTTGGACCGTCAATTTTCAGAATATCATAGATATGTCGATCTACACTATTTTTGAAGCTTTGAACTTCATAAAGAGATATGAAAATATATTTTAAAGCTATCACAAAGATTTCCAATATTGAAATCGCATTTCTTGATGCTATTTGGAGTTGGGCTCAATTTTCAAAATATCATAGATATGTCGATCTACACTATTTTTGAAGCTTTGAACTTCATAAATAGATATGAAAATATATTTTAAAGCTATCACAAAGATTTCCAATATTGAAACCGCATTTCTTGATGCTATTTGGAGATAGGCTCTAATTTGATTGTTTAGAGCCTAGGCTCTATACAAACCGCACCCATTTATAAATTATGCCTTATAATTTATAAATAATAATTTAAAGATATTTATGAATTAAAAATATATCTAATTTAAATATACATATATATAAGCTGCAATAAAATAATTTTGAAAATCAAGTTATATATTCTATTGCTTTTAAGAAATTTTGTTTTACAGTAAAACAAAAAATTCTAAGATTAATTCAAATAAATTAAAATTTGAAAATTTTAGGAAAAAATTATTTAAACCTTATAAATAGAAACAATGGGCGAAGTTCACTAATGATTCTCCTTGGAGGTTTTCTTTATTGAAGTTTTTGCTTATTTACAAAATCTCATTTATTGTTGAAAATAGGATCATCAACTCCATTTGGATGCTTATCAAAGATTGGTGGCAACTCCCCTAAGTAGTATTCTAAACCCTCCAATCTAAATTGAAAAGTGTAGGTGAAGTTTGGCAATCGGATGAGATCGAATTAGTTCCGATAAATTATTAGAACCGGTTCAAGCCCTTGCCTAAACCCCCTTCATATTTTTTGTGCTTTTATTAATTTTAAGTAAACTACTTTTTAGAGCAGTACAATATGCATCATTTTTGCGGTCGCATTATGTTTTCCTATTCACTCAAACTGTATAAAATTTATTTTAGAGAAGTTAATATGAATGCAGATTTTACATAAACTGTATAGATTGTTTTATTATAGAGCTTAAATGGTCATGGTGAATAGGTTAAAAGTTAAAAACTAAAAGTTTTTTTTATTGTGGTATTGCTAAACTATTTGTAAATTTGTTTTTAATTAGAGTCCATGTTCAAATTCTCACCCCTATGTCTATCTTAAACTCTCTCCCTCTCCCTCCCTCTCCCACTCTATCAAACACTCTCTCTCTAAAAAGTGCACACTTTAATACTCTCTCTAGACCCCTGCTCTCTCTCAATACATACACATACATATGCGTGCATAAGTATATATCAACCTATATTGTAAGAACTTCATTGATAAAAATATTCGTTCATATACTATCAAATTACATCTAAGTTTACGCAAAGATAATTTTATTTTTCTAGGAGAATAAGTCTTTATGATGAAATCATTTCGTGAATTATATAATTTAAGACAATACCTTTTATTTTTTAATTTTGGGTTTAGCTCCTATTTTGATGACCTAAAGTAATTGACAGATAATTGAAAGCTTGCATAATTCTATGTATTCCCTTTAATTAAAATAATTATATATTTAAATATAATTTATTAAGTCACCCTACAGTGTTGATTTGGGCAATTTTATTTCGAATAAATAAAATTTAGTTACTAAAACTACTTTTAAAAGGTTAAATATTAATTGTATAATTTAAGTAAATTTCATAATTTTGAGCTCCATTTTTAACTTAAGTTGGAATTATAGTTTTTGTTAAGAAGCAATTACAAATTTTAATGTGAATTTTTGTTAATAAAAATTATAAATTTTAATGCTGGACACCAGTTGTGATAAAATTTAAATGTCCATTTTTTAAATTGCAATGTATATTGGCTGTTGAAAATTTTGATTACAAAAAATCTGTCATAAATAATAATTTTAATAATATTATATTAAAAAAGAAGTATGCATGACCAAAATTAAATTTAAAAATTTTAACATCATTTTCTACGAAAGATGAACTTTTATATTTTATTAATACAACAAATTTTAAAGTGTTTCATCTTTTAAGTGCGGAAAAAGCTTATATAAGTGCGAGGCTCTAAACAATCAAATCAAGGCACACCTCCAAAATTTTGTTTTGATTAGGGTGAGAACGGGTCTATTCGGGTTCGAATCTAGGAGGATCTGGATTTGGATCCAAATTTGGGGTCGATACCCAGATCCGAAGGGTCAGAATTCTGGGTTTTGAATTCAGATCGGATCAATTCTCACCCCTAATTTTTTATTCTCAAATATCCTCAAATTGATCATCTCGGGCTCAAGATGTATTGACATTAGAAAAAAATATATTTCAAGTTTTTGAAATAGTGAGTCTTGTAATACATTTTTAGACCGTCTGTTTTAAATATTTTCAAATTTTCATAGATCTACTCGATCTACAATTTTTTTTCAGCTTTGACTCTTACAATTAGAGATGAAAATATATTTTAAGGCTGTTACAAAGATTTCTAGGATTGAAACCACATTTCTTGATATTATTTGAAGCTGCATTGTACTTTGATTGTTTAGACCCTCGGCTTTATACTAACCACACCCTTTAAGTAAATCCTGTAATATTCAAAACTACAATAGAAATAAATTCTAATTTTAAAATATGAAATATATATTTAAAGTATAATTAAATGAAACATATCCAAATGAATTTGAAAAGTAGTAAAAAAAATGTATTTTAAAAAATTGATTTGTACTTAGGGATAGTTTAGAAAAAAAAAAGAGGCAAAATGCAAAAAGTAAGTATTCATGGACAAAACACATTCCTATCTTTGTCAAAATAAACATTGAAATACAAATTACAAAAAAATCACTTTTTTTGGTATTTTATATATTTATTTTGATTTTTTTAAATTACCAGGCCGACCACCAAAACCTGCTCCGCCAGTGGCCGGTTTTGGTTTACTCGACATGTTCCGAGCAAACCGCCCGGTTACTTCAATTTTAGGATGTTCTTTTTTTAAGCACATAAGACTATTTGATTTCTCTCTCTCCCTTCCTCTCTCTCTCTTTGTTTTTAGGCTAGTTGCTTCGTTGAAAAGGATACATGCTCAAATTTTGGGGAATAAAATTTAAGGAAAAGTATGTAATAAGTCTATTTACCATTGATACAAGGTGATCACAATTAAAATTGACCATTGAATGTGAAATTGGGTGGTAGCATTTCATTAACCAAGCTGAAAATTCAAAATAAACTTTTTTGAACTTTGTGAGGCATCCAAGCTATCAGATTTCACATCGAATGGTTGTAAGTAATTGTGATCTCCCTGTACCAAAAGTAAATGGTCTCATTGTATACAATCTCACAATTTAATGCAATGCTGAATTAGTTAGTAACAAGTGGATGCCTATTCCACTAGCAACCGTTGAATAAGAAAAGGACGTGATTAGCGTGCGGCCAAGCCTGTACATGTAGAAATTTGGATTTGGCAATAAATATATTTTTAAAATATAATTTGATACTACTTTTTAGAGAATATGTAATCTTTAACATGGAGATCATGAATATGAAAAAATAATTTAAAAACTATAAATAATAATTATATTAAGAAAACACTTGGACCGTTAGTTACAATTGTTTTTAGGTGAAAAATCTTGTTCATTATAAGCAATTCTCTACTTCACCTAGAGTTGATAGCACTGATTCATCCTATTTGGCATGAGTGATTCATAATCCTCTGATTGTATAAAAATTACTCCTAGATTGAGTTTAACCTATTGGAGTAAATAGAAGAAATGCACCACAGAAGCAGTATGAAATAACAATTTCGAGAAATATGCAATTCTGTATGAAAGTTAATCGCACATGCTGCATGTGAAAATCACCTTTGGACGATCACATGTTTCAAATTTCAATAAAGTACTCAAGGGCTATTGTTATTAGGGACTGCATGCTACGCTTCGTAAGATTACAGTGGCAATAGTTCATAATGTGGAAGGTGGACATTGGGTAAGAGTTTATGATTCTATACATTATAGCTATTGTATATTGGGGTTGTCTATAAAGAGACCATTTATCTTTCCTGCAAGGAGGTCACAACTACTTCCACTTATTAGATGTCTAATTGGATGGTTTAGAATAAGTATCGAAGTTTGAAGATTTTTTTTATAATTTTGTGTTTATTTAATGACACTCTTACAGCCACCCATTTTAAACTTTAAGGGACAAAAGTGATTGTGACGCCTTTGTACAAAAGATAATAGTCTCTTTATAGACAATCCCTTGTATTGTTTTCACACTAAGTTAAGGCGAGACAATTAGTGTTATTGTGATGCAGTATGCTTTTCCATTTAATATAGAAGTTTTTAACACTAGATAAACCCTAGAAAAGGAAAGAAAAACTTAGTAGCACCACATAAACAAGCGTGCTCACATTTATTTTCTTTCTTCTTATAGTTAAGCAAATATATCATAAAGCTCAACCCAAAAAATCACAAAGTGAGCTTCAAATTTAAAACAAATGAGACATGCTCTATTGAAAAGTTAATGTCGAATGCCTACAATTAGCAACCATGGAATTGAGTAACTGAGTTATCATTTATAGATTCAAAAAAATTTAGGTATGGTACTAATAGACGATAAGATGAGCTGGAGTAGACTTAGGTGGATTGGCCATGTGTGACGCAGATCCTGTACAATACCTGTTAGGAGGTATGATAAGTATAATTGGGAAGCTAAAAAAAAACAAAGGATAGACCCAAAAATACATGATAAGATCTCTTTTATAAAAACGCTTTTAGTGTAATTTATTGATACATATGATGTTGTAATGGTTCTATCATCATAAGCCATAGGTGGTGGAATGGGCAATCTGAGACATGAAGAATCAATTCTTAACAATTGGAGAAATTGGAGGACTATCTGTTACATCTTCTTGGATGCAAAGAAGCTGAATGAATCTCAAAATTGGTTTCTTGGGGCATGTCTCACTAAGAGATGGATCCATCAACTCTATAGGTCTCTGTCATGCCACATCTACCATGTTTCTATTCATTTGAGACATTAGTTCTCGTCGACTATTATACATAAATAAAAAATACTTAAATTAGGGAAAATATCATTTAGTTTTCAGAGTTTTCGAATAGGATTTCTTGTGATCATGTGCTTGATCCGGAGTCTTTTTGAATTGTAATTAGATGGAACCCACGAATTTCTATTGATAAATATTTAACTTATTTAAAGCATAAATTTAGTGGGTTTCTTCATAGACGTGCCTTTCCTAGAAAGAGACTTTATTTCACAATATTTCTTCTATTAGATGGAAATTCATAAATAAAATTTTATTTCTAGAATTATTTAAGAAATAAGCAATATTACTTATCAACCAGCAAAATTAAATTTAAATAATATATGAATGTTATATCTAAGAGGGTAATTTTACAATGTGAACCAATTGGAGCACACAGGTTTTGGAACTAATACATTGTGATCCACTTAAAATTTACAGGACGAGCATTTCCTATAAAAACTAGGCAGCTCAAATTTTGAATGGTTCAAAATTCTTATAACATTTTTTCCAAAAATACTCGTTTGGTTATTTTTTAGGCACCTGCAAGGTTTTTAATTCAATGATTAATAATAAAACAAATTTACTGGAGGAAGAAGACAAACAAATGTATAGTACTAAAAGGTCTAATTGCATTCTTAAGAGACGTAGACAATGAATCATTTTTCTCCCCTTTGTTTTTTGATGTCATATTCATACCAATTGATTTTGATTTTATTTGTAGATCTTCTGAAAATAGAAAAATACAACACGAAGAAAAATCATGAGGTTAGGAAGCATGAAGCATCAATCCTAGAGAGAGAGGAAAAAAAAAAAAAAACGGGAGGGGGTTGGGGGGAGATAATCTCACTTTATAGACAAAAATAAATTAAAGACTCAAAATTATAGCTATCATAGCACGTTAATTGATTGAAAGCATGGATATGGTTTGTCACTCCAACAACGACAGTGCGGCCTCTACGTCCTCCGCAGGACCGTGGGAGGCTACCTGTTGTTTTTTGCAAGAAAATGAATGCACGTTAGCACCACGCTAGGCTAGTCATTGCTTCTTGTTTTCGAAGCACGTTAGCACCGCCCTGGGCTAGTTGTTGCTTCTTGTTTTCGAGCCTGTCCTTTTGTTGGTAAAAAAGCAAAACACTCTCAAACGCTCAACATGGGGATAGTCTTACTACTTTACAGACAAAAATAAATTAAGGACTAAACCTTCTAGATATCATTGCTTTCTATTTATAATAGTTTTTCTTCTCCTTAAAGGATATTGCTTTAAATACAAATTTCTAAGTATTTTTTAAAGAAAGTAGGAGATAAAGCCATATATTTTTAATGCATCCAGAATTAAACTACGAGTTCTAGAAGCTAACCCCTGCCATGAAATATTATTCAAAATTAACCAGAGGAATTAAAAAATGAAACAAAAGCGTAGACCTATATATTATTCTATGAAATACCATATATTTTTCCTGATAGGTAACTTCTAACACTATATTATGTTACATAATATAATGATATCTTTTTTTATTATATTACAATAATATATCAGCACAGCCTCAATAATATATTTCATAAAATTATATTATATCGCATAAAAGAATACAAAACAAAAAAAATCATGAAAAATCCTTTTATAGAAAAGAAGAAATCACAACGTGTTCCTGTGCCTCAGGTAAAGTTCAAGTTTGCGTATTTTTTAGAACACTGGATTTTAGGGATATTAAATTAAAATATCTTACTAATTTCATGTTTTCCTGATAAAAAAATTTATTTCATAATATTTTAATAAATGAAATTATATATAGAAAATTAAATTCATGAATATTTTAGTAAAAAATACTAATAATTTTAAAAATATGAAATATTATTATGTCTAGGACAGTTAGTCTAATTAGTATGATTAACCATTCTTTTTTTCAAAAAGATAAACCGCAAGAATACGTGTGTTGCAAATTTTCAAAGAACCCATGCATTCAATATACTATTGCAGTAACATCATGATTAAAACTCTTTTGCTGAACTTCTGATGACTTATTTATTCAGCATGATGGAAATTTTGAAGAGGATTTTAATTGACCATGTATTAAAAAGCAAAAGTGCAGGATAAGACCATTGATGCAAATTATTATATACTTTATATATAATTTTGATTCTTTGATGATGATTTCTAATTTTTTATTATTATGTGCTCCACTGTACCTTTCCTTTTTTTTAATTTTTTCTGAGTTTTTTTAGCTGTAAATCAAAATTTTCCAAATTCCGTCCTACATGCATACATATATACACTTTTTTGTAATTTAAAGAGTTGTGAGCTATAGATTATCCTATTATATATATATATATATATATATATATATATATATATATATATATTACTTACTTTTATTTATTAGTAGTGTTCGTAGTAGTAGTACGTTAGTTTCGTTTCTTTTCCTTTTACTTTTTACTTTTTACGTTTTTAATTTAATT